CAGCCTCGACCTGCTGGGCTCCGGCGATCCTTCTGCTTCAGCCTTCCGAGTAGCTGGAACCACAGGTGCGTGCTACCACGCCCAGCTAATTTTTGTTTTATTGTAGAGATGAGGTCTCTCCAAGTTGCCCAGGCGGGTTGCGAACCTGCGTGCTCAGGCAATCCACTCACCTCAGCCTCCCAAAGCGTGGGATTACAGGCTGAGCCACCAAGCCCGGCTAGGGGGTACATTTCAAGACCCCCTGTAAATGCCTGAAACAGTGGATGGTCCTGAATCTCATATATGATGGTTTCCTATACTTATATGCCTAGGATGGCATTTAATTTATAGATTCAGCGCAGCAGGAGATTCATAATAAATAATAAGATAAAGCAATTTCAATATAACTTATGTGGATGTGGTTTCTTGGACTTAAAATATTTTGTTGTGAGAGGCCGGGTTCGGTGGCTCAACCTGTCATGCCAGCACTTTGGGAGGCCAAGGTGAGTGGATTGCCTGAGCCCACGGGTTCAAGACCAGCCCGGGCAACTTGGCTAGACATAGTCTCTACAGTAAACAAAAAATTAGCCGGGTGTGGTAGCGTGCACCTGTAGTTCCAGCTACTTAGAAGGCTGAGGCGGAAGGATCGCTGGAGCCCAGCAGGTTGAGGCTGCGGTGGCCGGGAGCGGCCACTGCACTCCAATCTGGGCAACGGAGTGAGACTCCAACTCAGAAAAAAAAAATAAGAAGGGAAGAAATATGCAGGAAGGTTGAAAGTGTATGAGACAGACAGTGTGAATGAGGGAGGGAGACAGGAAGTGGAGGGGGAAGTAAGGAGACCATGAGGGAGACAGGCATGGAAGGGGAGACATGAAGTGGAAGGGGAAAGACAGAGAGTGATAAGGGAAGAAATATGCAGGAAGGTTCAACATGTATGAGAGAGACAGGGTGTGCATGAAGGAGGGAGACAGGAAGTACATGAGGGGAGGAGACAGGAAATGGAGAGGGGGAAGTCAGAAGGAGCGTGAGGGAGAGGAAGTACTTGGGAGACAAGAAATGCATAGGGGAGATGTGAAGTGGAAGGGGAAGTTAAGAGGTGCATGAAGGAGACAGGAAGTGCATGGGGAGACAGGATGTAGAGGGGGAAACGAGAAATTCGAAGGGAAGAAATGTGCAAGATTGAAAGTGTATAAAACAGAGTGTATGAGGGTGGGAGACAGGAAGTGTATGTGGAGACAGGAAGTGGAAGGGGAAGTCAGGAGGTGCATGAGGGAGACAGGAAATACATGAAGGAGGCAGGAAGTGCCTGTGTGAGAGAGGAAGTGGAGGCAGAAAGTCAGAAGGTGCATGAGGGAGATGGGCAGTGCATAGGGAAGACAGGAAGTGCATAGGGGAGCCAGGAAGTAAAGGGGAAAAGTCAGGAGATGTGTGGGGGAGACAGAAAGGCCTTGGGGAAACTGGCCGAGATGGTGCACAACCGGAAGAGCCCCACCCCAGATGCTTGGACAAGCACCCCCAGTGGAGGCCCAGCAGGCTGGAGGGAAGGCGGGGGACACAAGAGAGACTGGGAACCAGGAAGAGACCCTCCTCTCCGACCCCATTTCCCCAGGAGAACCGGGAGGTGGGAGACTGGCGCAAGAACATTGATGCGCTGAGCGGAATGGAAGGCCTCAAGAAGAAGTTTGAGGGCTGAGCCGCCTCCACCAGCCAAGGACAGCCCTGAGGAATAAAGCTTCTCTCTGAGCTGAAAGTGACTGCGTGTCTGTCACCCTGGGGCGTAGGCTTGGGAGAGACAGGAACACTGAGGGGAGGCTGCTGCCCAAAAGACGCACAGCAGGTCAGGGACAAGCAGAGGTACCAATGTGGCAACATTTGTGACTTTGTTATCCCAAGAATCTGAGGTCCAGAAGTTGGAAAAAAGAGTATCGTTTCTTAAGAAGGCCCTGTAATTCCAGTGCTTTGGGAGGCCACAGTGGGAGGATGACTTGAGACCAAGAGTTTGAGACCAGCTTGAGCAATATAGCAAGACCTCTGACTCCATGGGAAAAAACCAAAAAAACAAGCTATGATGGCATGTGCCTATAGACACAGCTTGTTGGGAGACTGAGATGGGAGGATCTCTTGAGCCCAAGCGTTCAAGACCAGCCTGGGCAACATAGGGAGACCCTCCTCTCTGAAAAATTAACTGGATACAGTGGCGTGCCTGTAATCGCAGCCATTCAGGACGCTCAGCCAGGAGGATCGCTTGAACCTAGCAGTTCGAGGCTGCAGTGAGTTATGATACCATCACTGCACTCCAGCCTGGGAGACAGAGACCCTGTCTCTAAAAAATAAATATCAGGCCTGGCTCGGTGGCTCAGCCTGTAGTCCCAGCACTTTGGGAGGCCTAGGCAAGTGGATTGCCTGAGACCTGGGAGTTTGAGACCAGCCCAGGCAACTTGGCAAGACCTTGTCTCTACAATAAATCAAAAATTAGCTGGGCATGGTAGCATGCCCCCATAGTTGCCGCTACTTGGAAGACTGAGGCAGAAGGATTGCTGGAGCCCAGCAGGTCGATGCTGGAGTGGGTGTGTCTGTGAGCACGCCACTACACTCCAGCCTGGGTGACAGAGTGAGCCTCCAACTCAGAATAAATAAATAAACAAACAAAAAAATAAATATTTAGAAGTGAAAAAAAAAAGGGATCACAGCTTGCATGCAGAACCACAACCTCTGGGTAAAAGCCAAAAGCAGCTGCTTCCATAAAGGGAAATTCCAGACAGGATTTATGCTGGCTAGTATACATATTCAGCAGTTTATAGGAGTACATGCATATTCATGAAGAGGTGGCTATGGGCATGCAAGAGAAAAGCTTACCCCAGTTAGAATATGATTGACTCTTTTTTTTTTTTTTTTTTGAGTTGG